GGGATTAGGGTTTAGGGTTTGTAGTCCCCCTTAAGTAGATAGAATATGGTGTTGGGTATAGCATAATAAGATCCCCATATACCCCATACTCTATCTACTTAAGGGGGACTTTAACATCAGCCATCCCAAGATAGTAACATCCCGATTTTCTATGAGGACTGCCCAGAAAGGGATCGCTATTTTGTAAACCCACAGGTGTGAAGGGAACTTCAACAGACTGGAGCAATATAGATCTCAGGATATAGGTTCCACAAATGAATCCCTAAGGGTCCAAACACCCAAATAATAGGGTTTTAGGGCCCAAATAACATAATATTAATGGTATTTGGGCCCTAAAGCCCTATTCGTTGGGTCCTTGGACCCTTAGGGAATGTGATATAGAACGCTGCGTTGAACCAGGTTCCCTCCGTGAAGCTGCATATTACGAACCCAAAGTCTGGGCTTGAAATTGCGGCGCAGGACTGTCCAAGTAAAGCACTGCCACTCCCAGAATTCTATAACTACTACTATTATAAGGGTTTAGGGTTTAGGGTAATATACTATAGCACACTGTAACATACTGTAATCTGATTTCCTACAATATATTGTAATATACTGTTATGCACTTGGAACAGGAATGCCTAGAGAGTTGAGCGGAGTTTGGGTTGGAAGAGTTCAGATCCGAAGGCCCACCCCATGAGCTGCCCATGTGGGTGGTTGTCCGAATTATGGTCCCTTTTTGGGGTACGCTAAATATATATATATATATGTATAAGATGCCGTATTACAATAGAGATCCAAAAAGAGACCATAGTTTTGACAACCACCCATATGTATTTCGGAAGTAGAAATTGTGAAGACTCGTGAACAAGGGGGACCCAACAAGATCTACGGCCTGGGGTATAGGCTTTCGCGTCACTTCCGTACGCCTTGCTCGGGCATTTCCCAAATTCATGTCCAGCTTTGTAGTCCACGAAAGCCTACAATCCCCACCACAAGCATTAGATCCTAAACCCTAAACCCTACCCTAAATCCTATAAACTCTTAACCCTAAGTTTGAGAGAGCCTGCTGCGACGCTGTCCAATTCCCCTAGCAATTTGAGACAACCCCCAAAGGATGCTCTCATTTGAGCTCGAGTCTAAACTCCTCAAAGGGGTTTAGGGTTTAGGGCTGAGGGTTTAGGGCTTGGGGCTTAGGCTTAAGGGTTTAGGGCTTAGGGTTTAGGTTTAGGGTTTTAGGTGTTTAGGGTTTAGGATTTAGGGTTTAGGTTTAGGCTTTTAGGGGTTTAGGGTTTAGGATTTAGGGTGTAGGGTTGAGGGTTTAGGGCTTTAGGGTTTAGGGCTTAGGGTCTAAACTCCTTAAAGGGTGTCATATGGAAGGATTATTTAGGGGACTGCTATAAATGGGTTATGAAGGGGGGATACTAGGAGTTTAGACCATGCTCATTTGTTCTGTGTGTTGTCCTCTTTTGCAGCCCCATGCAATACCCTAAGGGTCCAAGGACCCAAATAATAAGAGTTTTAGGGCCCAAATACCACTAACATTCTAGCATTTGGGCCCTGATACCCCATTATTTGGGTCCTTGGACCCTTAGGGATACCTTGAGTCAGGTCAGCGTTGGTGATGCTCTTCAGCTTGTGCGCGTGTTTGCACAGCTGAGGCTGACCTGTTTGCATGACGGTCCTTCTACTATAAGGGTGTACTATAACCTTTAGGGTCTAAGGACTCATATTTCTAGGCTTTTGGGCCCCAAAGACCATAATATATAATGCTCTTGGGCTATTTTGAGCCCTAGGGTAAGGGAGCAGTGACCCAATATTTAAGTACTTGGGATCTGGGCTAAGAGCTTGAGGTTCGGGCTTTGGATTTAGGCTTTGGGTTCCTTCTGATAGTCTAAGTGCAAATAAGTCATATACTCCCCGTGCACCGGATATCACGACTCCTATCTCCAACGTCCTTAGTACTCAATTCTGGGATGTTTCAACCATCTAATCTCATGTCGTTAGCCGATGAACAAGGCTTTGCGCCTGTTCTGCCATGCCCCTTTCGGTTACAGATTATATTACGGCACCTAATAAGGGCACCAACATGGGACCCTAATTTTGGGAACTACCTATATATTCTGTGAAATACTGTCCGCTGATAACACGTCACATACAATAAATCCAGTATAATGTACCCCAAAGCACGCCATATCGTGGCGCGCGTCGAGGGGCCAGAATCAACTTGCTGGTGCTAAGAGGGGCAAGGGGGAGGGAATATTGAATATACAGGATTATATGGCACTGCTAGAAGCGATTTATAGGGATTATAGCTATCCATTCCCCACTCCTTAAGCGCCAGTAGGTGAAGTGAGCGCAATCTTCTGTTCGCGGTTCTCAAAGGCAAACTAGGTTTGCATAACCTTTAGAGGGACCCCAAACCTCTTTTCTTGCTGGGCTTGGGGATCTACCACCCAATAATCTATGTAAAATAATTGCCTTTCGGGCTATTTTTCGCAGGTTTGGGGCAATATTACCCACTTTTGGGTCCAGGAATAGCTCCGAATCCTCCGGATTGGACAGGCCCGGAGCTGGCAATAAGTGGCCCACAACCACCCTTCCCCTTGGCGCTTTCTGCCCAAGGATAGGTCCATACTTGGAGGGTTTAGGGTTTGGGTTATAGGGCTTACTTAGGGTTTAAGGTATAGGGTTTAGGGTAGACCAAAGCCACCCTAATAACAGCAGGGTGCAACCGTGGCAGGGGCAGTAGCCTGATAGTTTAGACCACTACATCTGCTCCGTTCAGATTCTTGTACCTGAGATTGGTGTAGATTTAGACATTCGGTGAAACGCCCTCAGCCTTAAATGCTAAACCAGCTTCCTACTTGACCAGTATTCTATTTGGGGATACTATGGTACCCAATATAGAGTAAGACTACATTATCTTTGTTCGTATAGTATCTTATTGTATAAACAACATAATCTTACTGGGTTCAGCCATCAAAAAATGATGCTCACATTACCTTTGTCTTTTGTCTCTGCGTGGGGTCTCCTCCTTCCCAACGGTCCGAGGACCAGGTTCAGGACCCAGAGGGAACATTAGGTACTTGGATCTAGGGGAATAGTAATTATGGTATGTGAGCCCCAAAATTATGTAGAAGAATATAGCCCCTTGGGCTGCTTTTAAGTGTTTGGGGCTCATATTTTACGTACATTTGGGTTCCAGTTGCAAGTTTGGGGCAGAGTAGATGAATTCTTAGGTACTTGGGCCTTTATGTGAATCTTAATTTCATATGTAGGGCGTTAGGTATCCGATGGGGTTTAGGGTTTAGGCTTTAGGGTTTAGGATAACTCCTTAAAGGGGGTTTTGGGGATGATGTAGGGGAGTAGTACAGGGGTTATTAAGGAGGATAGTAGGAGTTTAGGCTGTAGCTCATACGCGGGCCAAGACTGCTAGAGGGTCCAAGTAACCTTTTTAGGGTTTAGGTTCTAGGGTTTAGGGTTTAGGGTCAAATACTACAGTCTGAAGGGTCTGCGCTACCTGAAACCCTAAAACCCTAAACCCCTAAACCCCAAACCTGGGTATTTGGACCGTTAGGGTTTGTAGCCTGACCTCGTGTCAGTGCTACGAGGGCTCAGGTGCCAAGGGTTTAGGGCTTAGGGAACAATATCTACAGGCTCGTATGTCACGTTTGCTTAGTACAGTAAGCCGTCTATGAAGCCTTACCAGCAACTCTAACAATGCCACTGAGAAGAACTTCATATGAAACACCAAAGCCTAAATCCTTGCACTAACAGCTTCCACCGCCAACAGCCCAGAAAGCTAAAACATACGCCATCAGCCCTCAACTCACAAGCTTAATCCCTAATCCCTAAACCCCAAGCTCTGTACCTGAAGCCTTAACCCCGGTAATCGAAAGGTTACAGACCCCTCCATGCTCTAAGCCTATACGCGATATGGATGTTTGAGCCTTGCAGCACATACATGCTACTCACTTTGGGCTAGTTGAAGCCCAGTTGGAATACCTTCAAGAATAGCCCTTAACCCCCCAAAATAAAGGGTACACACCTAGACCCTCCATCCTACCTGTATATACCCTAAATAGGGACCATATGCCCCTATTCAAAGGGCACAAGGAGGGTCCTGGTAGGTAACCTATAAACTTGAACCCTAAACCCTGAACCCTAAACCTTGCATTCACCCCCCCCCCCTCCAAAAAAAAAAAGCAACATAATAGTGAGGATACAATATGTTGACCGAGTATGTGGGAGGTCTGGGTAGGGCTGCTTCTGTCGCTCAGAAGCGTCCATCTCGACAGCGTGGCCGCCTGCGTCGCCAAAGTCTGCGATGCAGAAGCGGAGGCACCAACTGAAGGGGATTTAGGCAATTTTCTTGCTTGGTTTAAGGACATAGGATTTTGGGGTCTAAGGGTTCTCGAGGCTTTGAACAAGTTTTAGGGTTTAAGGACTTTAGGGTTAGGGTTCAAGAGCTTGAGGGTCTCCTTCAATGAAACCCGTTTGCAGATTGGGGCTCAGGGTGTAGGCTTTATCAGATTTTTAGGGGGAGTTCCAAGGGGCGTAGCATTTTTCTTCTAATGAAATTTAGTGTTTCACAAGTTTCCCCAGTGCTTCCTAGGTGCCCCTTAAGTTACCTGTGGACCAATCCTGTTCAAGGACATGTTGCCTTTTTTTGGGTTTTGAGAGCGACATCAACACATTTCCATGCAACAAATGTGTCGCTCTGATGGTTGCAGCATTAGTCATGGAAGTTCCCTCCGTTGTGCTTTACTTCCGTGGCGTGGCGCAGTTCCAAAGCTCGAGTTTGAATTCTCTTCCAAGATTTGCATTCACCAAAGGGTCCAGGTACCCAAATGTCAGAGTTTCGGGTATCGACAATCTTTCAGATTATGGTTTTCGAGACCTAGTAACCCCTATATAGCCCTTTTCTTACTCCTATATTACGCCTATATAACCCCTAAACCCTAAACCCTAAAGCCACTTGGAGCTTTGAGCTCGCCAAGACTTTCATGTTTTCCTGCGGCTGCAGCAGAACGATCTGCCCCTTTAGGCCGGAAGGTCTTTTGGGAGTGGCAAACGTCAAGGGTTCAGGTATCAATTGCACCTAAACCCCAGAAGTATGCAGAATAATTGTGAGGTGGGCTATTTTTTTGGTGGTGGTTTTGGGGTATTATGTTAACTACTTTTGGGGCTTAGGCAGTGTCAAAGGTATCAAAAAGCATTGAGATGATAGTATTTGGCACCTTACATCCCATGGCTTCTGTACTTGGACCTTTGGGGCTAGTGACTGGATGCTGTTTACGTAGATGAACGTTCGTACGAGAGTACAGAGGAGCCTGTGTTCCAGATGCTCTGCTGCAGAAGTCCAGGATTACCTTCGTCCCAAAGGGCCTATAAGCGTCCGATTCTTTACTCCCGAACTCCACCCCATAAACCCCAAATCAGAAACCCATATACTCACCATGTTCCTTCCCCTACCGCCCCTTAACCTACTGGTGCTTAAAGGGGGAGTGGGGGAGTGAATATAGGCAATTAGCGTTATAATGGGGCGGTATATGTGGGGATTATACAGGCATGAGTATTGGGGTCCACTCCCACACTCTCCCTTAAGCACCTGTAAGTCATGCATTAGGAGGACCCCCCACCCTGTAATAGTGGTATAATGAGAATATAAGAGGACCCTAATATAATCCTTATTATCCCCTATGGTCACTATTACTGGGTGGGGGGTCCACCTAAGGTATATGGGTTATATAATCTAAACCCTAAACCCTAAATCCTAAACCCTAAACCCTAAACCTCTAAATCCTAAACCCTAAACCTCTCTTAC